TCATTCCCTCAGGGATCAGGAATGGGCTGAGGGGATCCTCATTCCCTCAGGGATCAGGAATGGGCTGAGGAGATCCCTCAATCCCTCAGGGATCTGAGGTGAGGGGATCCCTCAATCCCTCAGGGATCTGGAATGGGCTGAGGGAATCCCTCAATCCCTCAGGGATCAGGAATGGGCTGAGGAGATCCCTCAATCCCTCAGGGATCAGGAATGGGCTGAGGGGGATCCCTCATTCCCTCAGGGATCTGAGGTGAGGGGATCCCTCCTTCCTTCAGGGATCTCGTGTTATGAATAAGCAGCTTGACTAGGCCAATATTCAAGCAGCAATCAATTTATTATTTAATATGGTAAAGTATGAGCAATACAGCGCTGGGTACAGTGGGGGAAGTTTTCCCTCCAACTGCACACCCATAGTTGAGGCTTACAGGTATTTATAGGGGTACTCATCAGCTTTTTCCAGCAGTTTCTATTTCCAATTTTTTACTCATCAGCAATTTTTATTCTAAATTATTACATCACAATCCTATACACTGTTGTGATTTTAGGGGGTTTTTTTCAGGATGTATCTCAAAAGGAGTATTTTACATGGTGGTGGTTCAGTTTCCGAAAGAAGAAAGACAAATCCCATCTGGTGGAGTCCAGCTCCCCAGATGTGGGTCAATTTTTTTAATTATAGGAGACTATAAATTAACAACAGTGATGTCCAGCTTCCCTTTGGTGGAAACCATAAATCCTTGAGGTGGTGTTCATCTTCCTTTCTCAAGCTGTTTTTCTCTGCTTCCATAAGGTGTGAGATAAGCATATTTCCTATATATATATTCTAAAGCTATAGTTTCAGGATACAAGTAATATTCTAAAATTATACTTCAAAAGGTTATTATTGCAGAGCTCTTTATGGATTAACGGCAAGCAAAAAGCAACATCCTTAACACCTTAATTCCAGGGCTAATTGCAAACAAAAGATAGGTTCAAAGGCCTTTTTCCATGCTTTATTTTCCTCAGTTATTATTGGAATTCACAGCTCTCCCATTGCTGGACTGCACACATTTCACATTCATAAATACACACGTGGCCTGTTTGTACTGACACCAACCACAGCTTTGGATTCCACCCTGGCAATGCCCAGGGATGGGGTTTGGGGATCCTTGTTCTCACAGAATGGAATTTTCCTCCAAATGTCAGGAATTTCACCACCTTTCCGTGTTCTTCACAGGAAAACACTCTCTTTTCTGTCCAGCATGTGGCACATCCCAGCTCTTCCCAGCTGATTTTCCAGACTCCATTCCCTGCATCTTCTGATTCTTCTTTATTTTGCTTTCTTTTCAGAAATTTCCAGGAATTTCCAGAAATTCCTGGAGCGCTGAATATTCTGGACAAGCACAAGGATGGCGACTGGAAGGTGCCTTAGTGCCTCATTTTTGGGATAAAATACTCCCAAAAATACAAAATTTAGGATTTTTTGTTAAATTACCCCTCATAATCAGCTTTTTGCTCCTCCAGCCCCCTCTTTTCTGCCCAAAGAAGGCTCAAAATCCTCTTCCATGGGCTCTGGGTTGGTGCTTAAAATCTACCCTGGCACTGGAAAATTCCTGCCTTTTCCCCCTCGTGTTTCCTGCACTTGTCCCCTCACATTTCCCAACTTCTCCCCCTCACGTTTCCAGCTCTTTTCCCCTCACATTTCCCACCCTACCCCCTCACATTTCCCAGCATTTCCCCATCACATTTTCTCACTTTTTCCCCTCACGCTTCCCACCATTTTCCCACCATTTCCCCTCACATTTCCCACCCTTTTCCCCCTCGTGTTTTCTGCCCTTTTCCCCTCACATTTCCCATCCTTTTCCCCCTCACATTTTCTACCCCTTTCCCCCTTCCTATTTCCCTTTTTTCCCCTCATGTCTCCCACCCTTTCCCCTTCACATTTCCTACCATTTTCCCTCACATTTCCCAACTATTCCCCCTCACGTTTCCAGCCCTTTTTCCCCTCACATTTCCCACCATTTCCCCTCACATTTCCCACCCTTCTCTCCTCACATTTCCTGCCCTTTTCCCCCTCACATTTCCCTCTCTTTTCCCCCTCACGTTTTCCACCATTTTCCCCTCACATTTTCCACCATTTTCCCCTCACATTTTCCACCATTTTCCTCACATTTCCACCCTTTTCCCCCTCACATTTCCCACCCTTTCCCCCTCATATTTCCCTTTTTTCCCCTCATGTTTCTCACCCTTTTCCCCTCATATTTCCCTTTTTCCCCTCACATTTCCCACCCTTTTTGCCCCTCGTGTTTTCTGCCCTTTTCCCCTCACATTTCCCAACTTTTCCCCCTCACATTTCCTGCCCTTTTCCCCCTCATATTTCCCTCTCTTTCCCCCCTCACATTTTCCCCCATTTTCCTCACATTTCCCATCCTTTTCCCCCCTCACATTTTCTACCCTTTCCCCCTTCCTATTTCCCTTTTTTCCCCTCATGTCTCCCACCCTTTCCCCTTCACATTTCCTACCATTTTCCCTCACATTTCCCACCCTTCTCTCCTCACATTTCCTGCCCTTTTCCCCCTCACATTTCCCAACTTTTCCCCATCATATTTCTCCCCTTTCCCCCTCACATTTCCCTCTTTTCCCCTCACATTTCCCAAATTTTCCTCCTCACATTTCCCATCCTTTTCCCCCTTAGTTCCCTTTTCCTTCTCACATTTCCCATCTTTTCCTCTCACATTTCTACAATTTCCCCTCACATTTCCCACCCTTCTCTCCTCACATTTCCTGCCCTTTTCCCCTTCATATTTCCCACCCTTTTCCCCTCAACTTTCCACTCACTTCCCCTCACATTTTCCGCCCTTTTCCCCCTCATGTCTCCCACCCTTTCCCCTTCACGTTTCCTACCATTTTCCCTCACATTTCCTGCCCTTTTCCCCTCATGTTTCTCACCTTTTTCCCTTCACATTTCCTACCCTTTTCCCACTCACGTTTCCTGCCCTTTCCCCCTTCATATTTCCCTTTTTTCCCCTCACATTTCCCACCCTTTCCCCCCCATATTTTCCACCATTTCCCCCTCACATTTCCCAAATTTTCCCCCTCACATTTTCCACCCTTTTCCCCCTCATATTTCCCACCCTTTTCCCCCTCACATTTCCCACCCTTTTCCCCCACGTTTCCTGCCCTTTCCCCCTCATATTTCCCACCCTTTTCCACCCTCACATTTCCCAAATTTTCCCCCTCACATTTTGCCCCAATCCCTTTAAAAAACCCGGATTTTTTACACCAATCCCTTTAAAAAAACCCGGATGTTTTGCCCCAAAGCCGATTTCAGCAGCGGTTGGGTCTCTGGCACACCCAGCGCAGCGGCTCCAAGGATCTTTGCCCCAATCCCTTTAAAAACCCGGATTTTTTGCACATTTCCCACCCTTTCCCCCTTCATATTTCCCTTTTATCCCCTCATGTTTCTCACCTTTTTCCCTTCACATTTTCCACCCTTTTCCCCCTCATGTTTTCCACCATTTCCCCCTCACATTTCCCAACTTTCCCCCCTCATATTTCCCACCCTTTTTCCCCTCACATTTCCCGCCCTTTTTCCCCCTCACGCTTCCTGCCCTTTCCCCCTCATGTTTCCCACCCTTTTCCCCCCTCACATTTCCCAAATTTTCCCCCTCACATTTTGCCCCGATCCCTTTAAAAAACCCGGATTTTTTTACACCAATCCCTTTAAAAAACCCGGATCTTTTGCCTCGATCCCTTTAAGAAAACCCGGATGTTCTGCCCCAATCCCGCCCTCAGCAGCGATTCCGTCTCTGGCACGCCCAGCGCAGCGGCTCCGACGATTTTTACCCCGATCCCTTTCATAAAATCCCGATTTTTTACACCAATCCCTTTAATAAAACCCCGATTTTTACATAAATCCCTTTAATAAAACCCCCGATTTTTTGCCCCCAATCCGGTTTCAGCAGCGGTTGGGTCTCTGGCACACCCAGCGCAGCGGCTCCGAGGATTTTTTACCCCGATCCCTTTAATAAAATCCCGATTTTTTACACCAATCCCTTTAATAAAATCCCGATTTTTTACAGCAATCCCTTTAATAAAATCCCGATTTTTTACACCAATCCCATTAATAAAACCCCGATTTTTGCCCCCAATCCCGGTTTCAGCAGCGGTTCCGTCTCTGGCACGGCCCAGCGCAGCGGCTCCGAGGATTTTTGCCCCGATCCCTTTCATAAAATCCCGATTTTTTACACCAATCCCTTTAATAAAATCCCGATTTTTTACACCAATCCCATTAATAAAACCCCGATTTTTTGCCCCAAATCCCGGTTTCAGCAGCGATTCCGTCTCTGGCACGCCCAGCGCAGCGGCTCCGAGGATCTTTGCCCCAATCCCTTTAAAAACCCGGATTTTTTGCACATTTCCCACCCTTTCCCCCTTCATGTTTCCCTTTTTTCCTCTCATGTTTCTCACCTTTTCCCCCTTCACATTTCCCACCCTTTTCCCCCCTCATATTTTCCACCATCTCCCCCTTCATATTTCCCTTTTATCCCCTCATGTTTCTCACCTTTTTCCCTTCACATTTTCCACCCTTTTCCCCCTCATGTTTTCCACCATTTCCCCCTCACATTTCCCGCCCTTTTCCCCCTCACGTTTCCTGCCCTTTCCCCCTCATGTTTCCCACCCTTTTCCCCCCTCACATTTCCCAAATTTTCCCCCTCACATTTTGCCCCGATCCCTTTAAAAACACGGATTTTTTACACCAATCCCTTAAAAAAACCCGGATCTTTTGCCCCGATCCCTTTAGGAAAACCCGGATGTTCTCCCCCAATCCCGCCCTCAGCAGCGATTCGGTCTCTGGCACGCCCAGCGCAGCGGCTCCGAGGATTTTTGCCCCGATCCCTTTCATAAAATCCCGATTTTTTACACCAATGCCTTTAATAAAATCCCGATTTTTTACACAAATCCCATTAATTAAAACCCCGATTTTTGCCCCCAATCCCGGTTTCAGCAGCGGTTGGGTCTCCGGCACACCCAGCGCAGCGGCTCCGAGGATTTTTGCCCCGATCCCTTTAATAAAATCCCGATTTTTTACAGCAATCCCTTTAATAAAATCCCGATTTTTTACACCAATCCCTTTAATAAAATCCCGATTTTTTTACACAAATCCCATTAATAAAACCCCGATTTTTGCCCCCAATCCCGGTTTCAGCAGCGGTTGGGTCTCTGGCACACCCAGCGCAGCGGCTCCGAGGATTTTTACCCCGATCCCTTTAATAAAATCCCGATTTTTTTACATCAATCCCTTTAATAAAATCCCGATTTTTTACACAAATCCCATTAATAAAACCCCGATTTTTGCCCCCAATCCCGGTTTCAGCAGCGGTTGGGTCTCTGGCACACCAGCGCAGCGGCTCCGAGCACCTCACGCTCACCCAGCGCCCCTTGGGCCCCAGGGCCCCGCAGCCCCCGAGCTCCCGCTGCTCCTCCTGCAGCCACACGTCCCAAAACCTGGGAAAAAAAAACACAAAAAAACACAAAAAACCACAAAAAAAAACCAAATTACAAAATTCAAATATCACAAAATTGATAAAGTAAAATCGAGGGATGAAAATAACCCAAAAAAAAAGGGTTTAAAAGCACAAATAAAGCGATTTTTGAGGGGAAAACGTGGCTGAAATTCAATTTTTTCATGGTAGAAATAGAATAAAAAATTGGATTTATGGGGTAGTTTTTATTAATGGTAATGAGTTTTATGATTTGTAGGAATTGATTTGAATTTTAATTGACTTTTAGTTCTTTTTAAAGCAAATTTTTAGTAATTTAAAATTTAAAGGATTTTTAATTGATTTTTATAAATTTTTTTTCATCATTTTTAGTAGTTTAAAATTTTTAATGGATTTTTAAAGCAAATCTTTAATAATTTAAATTTTTAAGGGATTTTTTAATTGATTTTTTGTAATTTTTAGTAGTTTCATTTTTTAATAATTTAATTTTTAAAGGATTTTTATTGATTTTATAAATTTTTTTGTGATTTTTAGTAGTTTAAAAATTTTTAAATGGATTTTTAAAGCAATTTTTAGTGATTTAATTTTTTCCCCAAAAAATCCGATTTTTTTTTTCCCCAAAATTGGGATTTTTTTAACCAAAACTCAGGAATTTTTCCTGGAATTCTGGATTTTTTCAAAGAAAAATTCTGATTTTTTTGTTTTTTTTTTTTTTTTTTTATGCTAAAAATCTGATTTTCCCTCCAAACCTCAGGAAAAAAATCAGAATTTTTTTTACCAAAAAATCCATTTTTTTCCCTAAAAATCAGATTTTTTCCCCCAAAATTGGGATTTTTTTGGCCAAAATTCTGATTATTTTTCCCCCCATAAATTGTGATTTTTTCCCAAATTTTTGGGGGTTTTTTTTCCCAAAAATTGGGATTTTTTTGGCCAAAATTGTGTTTTGTTTTTTTTTCCCCAAATCAGGATTTTTTGAACCAAAACTCGGGAATTATTCCTGGAGTTCTGGATTGTTTTCAAAGAAAAAATTCTGATTTTTTAATTTTTATTTTTTGCTAAAAATTGGGGTTTTCTTACCCAAAAATTGGGATTTTTTCCCAAAACTCCAATTTTACTGGAAATCAGGATTTTTTACTCAAAATCTGATTTTTTACAAGAAAACCACGATTTTTTCCCTCAAACCTCAGGAAAAATCAGAAATTTTTTGACCAAAAAATCAAATTTTTTTTGCCTAAAAATCAGATTTTTTCCCCCAAAATTGGGATTTTTTTGGCCAAAATTGTGAATTTTTTTTTTTGCCCCAAAATCAGGATTTTCTCCCCCAAAAATCAGATTTTTTTTTTCCCCAAATCAGGATTTTTTTAACCAAAACCTCAGGAATTTTTCCTGGAATTCTGGATTTTTTTCAAAGAAAAATTCTGATTTTTTAATTTTTTTTTTGCTAAAAATTGGGATTTTTTTCCGAAAAAATTGTGATTTTTTTTTTTATATCCAAAAAATCAGGAATTTTTCATCAAATATCAGAATCTTATTGGAAAATCAGGATTTCTTCACTCAAAATCTGATTTTTTACAAGAAAACCGCGATTTTTTCCCTCAAACCTCAGGAAAAAATCCGAATTTTTTGACCAAAAAATCCAATTTTTTGCCCTAAAAATCAGAATTTTTCCCCCCCAAAATCGGGATTTTTTCGGCCAAAACTGTGATTATTTTTTCCCCCCATAAATTGTGAATTTTTTTTTCCCCAATTTTGGGTTTTTTCCCCAAATGTTTGGGATTTTTTAACCAAAACTCTGGAATTTTTCCTGGAATTCTGGATTTTTTTCAAAGAAAAATTCTGATTTTTTAAATTTTTTTTTTGCCTAAAAATCTGATTTTCCCCCCAAACCTCAGGAAAAAAATCCGAATTTTTTTACCAAAAAATCCAATTTTTGGCCTAAAAATCAGAATTTTTCCCCCAAAATCGGGATTTTTTTGGCCAAAATTGTGAATTTTTTTTTCCCCAAATCAGGATTTTTTTTAACCCAAACTCTGGAATTTTTCCTGGAATTCTGGATTTTTTCAACGAAAAAATCTGATTTTTTTAATTTTTTTTTTTTTTTTTTGCTAAAAATTGGGATTTTTTTACCCAAAAATTGGGATTTTTCCCCAAAACTCCAAATTTTACTGGAAATCAGGATTTTTTACTCAAAATCTGATTTTTTACAAGAAAACCGCGATTTTTTCCCCTCAGACTTCAGGAAAAAATCCGAATTTTTTGATTGAAAAATCCAATTTTTTGGCCTAAAAATCAGATTTTTTCCCCCAAAATTGGGATTTTTTCGGCCAAAACTGCGATTATTTTTTCCCCTCATAAATTGTGAAATTTTTTCCCCAAATTTTTGGGTTTTTTTTTTTTTCCCCAAAATTGGGATTTTTTCCCCCAAAATTGTGGGGTTTATTTTCCCCAAATCTGGATTTTTTTTAACCAAAACTCAGGAATTTTTCCTGGAATTCTGGATTTTTTCAAAGAAAAATTCTGATTTTTTAAATTTTTTTTTGCTAAAAATCTGATTTTTCCCCCAAACCTCAGGAAAAAAATCCGAATTTTTTGACCAAAAAATCCAATTTTTTGCCCTAAAAATCAGATTTTTCCCCCAAAATTGGGATTTTTTTGGCCAAAATTGTGAATTTTTTTTCCCCAAAAAATCCAATTTTTTTTTTCCCCAAATCAGGATTTTTTTAACCCAAACTCGGGAATTTTTCCTGGAATTCTGAATTTTTTTTTCAAAAAAACATTCTGGTTTTTAATTTTTTTTTTTTTTTTGCTAAAAATTGGGATTTTTTTTACCCAAAAATTGGGATTTTCCCCCCAAAACTACCAAATTTTTATGGGAAATCAGGATTTCTTTCCTCAAAATCTGATTTTTTCCCCTCAAACCTTAGGAAAAAATCCGATTTTTTTTTACCAAAAAATCCAATTTTTTGCCCTAAAAATCAGAATTTTCCCCCCAAAATCGGGATTTTTTCGGCCAAAACTGCGATTATTTTTTCCCCCCATAAATTGTGATTATTTTTCCCCCCAAATTTTGGTTTTTTTTCCCCAAATTTTGGTTTTTTTCCCCAAATTGGGTTCTTACATCACGGTGGGCTCCTCTCCCGTGAGCCAGCGCCATTGCCCCCGCCCGCTGCAGGTCCCTCAGCCCCAGCCAATAGGAGCTGCTGCGGTTGCTGTGCTCCAGCAGGAAGAGCTGCAAACACACCCGGCACGGGCATTGAGGCGCCGACACAGGGATTTAGGGACAGGGATTTGGGGTCAGGGATTGAGGCACAGGGATTGAGGCACCGACACAGGGATTGAGGGACAGGGATTGAGGGACAGGGATTGAGGGGCAGGGATTGAGGCACCGGCACAGGGATTGAGGCACCGACACAGGGATTTAGGCCCTGCCTCAGGGATTTAGGCGCCGCCTCAGGGATTTAGGCCCTGTCTCAGGGATTTAGGCGCCGCCTCAGGGATTTAGGCCCTGGCTCAGGGATTTAGGCGCCGCCTCAGGGATTTAGGCCCCTGGCTCAGGGATTTAGGATCAGTGCTTTAGGCCCCTGGCTCAGGGATTTAGCCCCCTGGCTCAGCGCTTTAGGCTCATGTCTCAGGGATTTAGGCTCCTGGCTCAATGCTTTAGGCTCCTGTCTCAGTGCTCTACGCCCCTGTCTCAGGGATTAGGCTCGTGTCTCAGGGATTTAGGTTCAGTGCTTTAGGCCCCTGTCTGAGTGCTCTAGGTCCCTTTCTCAGGGATTTAGGGTCAGTGCTTTAGGCCCTGTCTCAGGGATTTAGGCCCCTGGCTCAGGGATTTAGGCCCTGGCTCAGGGATTTAGGCCCCTGGCTCAGGGATTTAGGCCCTGGCTCAGGGATTTAGGCCCCTGGCTCAGGGATTTAGGCTCCTTTCTCAGGGATTTAGGCCCCTGGCTCAGGGATTTAGGGTCAGTGCTTTAGGTGCCTGTCTCAGGGATTTAGGCTCCTGTCTCAGGGATTTAGGCTCCTGTCTCAGCGATTCAGGCCCAGTCCCAGGGATTTAGGCCCCATCTCAGGGATTTAGGCCCTGTCCCAGGGATTTAGGCCGTGTCTCAGTGCTTTAGGCCCCTGGCTCAGCGCTTTAGGCCCCTGTCTCAGGGATTTAGGCCCCATCTCAGTGATTTAGGCCCTGTCTCAGGGATTTAGGCCCCATCTCAGTGATTTAGGCCCTGTCTCAGGGATTAGGCCCACCTGCTCCTCCTGCTCTTTGATCACCGCCAGGTGCGCGCCCAGGTCCGCGCAGGCGTTGAGGGCCCGGCCCCAGCTCAGAGCGTCCGGGGAGAACGAGAAACAACTGGAGCCGTGTGGGAGCCAGCCCGGGCCACAGCGCTGGGAGCTGCCCAGGGCCCGGCACAGCTGTGCTGGGGAGAAAACACCGGAAAATGGGAAATTTAATATGGGAAATGTGGGAAATTATCCGGGAAAAACCGGGAAAATATCCGGGAAAATACAGGGAATTTATACAGGAACCAGGAACCAGCTGGAGCCGTGAGGGAGCCAGCCCGGGCCACAGCGCTGGGGACTGCCCAGGGCCTGGCACAGCTGTTCTGGGAGAAAACAGGGGAAAATGGGAAATTTAATATGGGAAATGTGGGAAAATATCCGGGAAAATACAGGGAATTTATACAGGAAAATACAGGGAATTTATACAGGAAACCGGAAACAGGAACCAGCTGGAGACGTGTGGGAGCCGGCCCGGGTCGCATGGCCGGGGACTGCCCCGGGCCCGGCACAGCTGTTCTGGGGAGAAAACACCGGAAAATGGGAAATTTAATATGGGAAATGTGGGAAATTATCCGGGAAAATCCAGGGAATTTATACAGGAATTTATACAGGAAACCGGAAACAGGAACCAGCTGGAGCCGTGAGGGAGCCAGCCCGGCCCACTGCGATGTGAGCTACCCAGGGCCCGGCACAGCTGTTCTGGGGAGAAAACAGGGAAAATGGGAAATTTAATATGGGAAATGTGGGAAATTATCCCGGGAAAAAACGGGAAAATATCCGGGAAAATACAGAGAAATTCTACAGGAATTTATACAGGAATTTACACAGGAAACAGGAAACAACTGAGCCGTGAGGGAGCCAGCCCGGGCACAGCACTGGGGACTGCCCAGGGCCCGGCACAGCTGTTCTGGGGAGAAAACACACAAAAATGGGAAATTTAATATGGGAAATGTGGGAAATTATCCGGGAAAATCCAGGGAATTTATACAGGAATTTACACAGGAAACCGGAAACAACTGGAGCCGTGTGGGAGCCGGCCCGGGCCGCAGCGCTGGGGACTGCCCAGGGCCCGGCACAGCTGTTCTGGGGAGAAAACACCCGAAAATGGGAAATTTTAATATGGGAAATGTGGGAATTATCCGGAAAAAAACCGGGAAAATATCCAAGAAAATACAGAGAAATTCTACAGGAAACAGGAACCAGCGGGAGCCGTGTAGGAGCCAGCCCGGCCCACAACGCCGGGAACTGCCCAGGGCTCGGCACAGCTGTTCTGGGGAGATAACACACAAAAATGGGAAATTTAATATGGGAAATGCGGGAAATTATCCGGGAAAAAACCGGGAAAATATCCGGGAAAATCCAGGGAATTTATACTGGAAACCGGAAACAGGAACCAGCTGGAGCCGTGTGGGAGCCAGCCCGGGCCGCATGGCCGGGGACTGCCCAGGGCCCGGCACAGCTGTTCTGGGAGAAAACAGGGAAAAATGGGAAATTTAATATGGGAAATTATCCCGGGAAAAACCGGGAAAATATCCGGGAAAATCCAGGGAAATTCTACAGGAATTTATACAGGAATTTACACAGGAAACAGGAACCAGCTGGAGCCGTGAGGGAGCCAGCCCGGGCCGCAGCGCTGGGGACTGCCCAGGGCCCGGCACAGCTGTTCTGGGGAGAAAACACCGGGAAAATGGGAAAATTTTAATATGGGAAATGTGGGAAATTATCCGGGAAAAACTGGGAAAATATCCGGGAAAATCCAGAGAAATTATACAGGAAACAACTGGAGCCGTGAGGGAGCCGGCCCGGGCCGCAGCGCTGGGGACTGCCCCTGGCCCGGCACAGCTGTTCTGGGGAGAAAACACCCAAAAACGGGAAATTTAATATGGGAAATTATCCAGGAAAATACAGGGAATTTATACAGGAAACCGGAAACAGGAACCAGCTGGAGCCGTGAGGGAGCCGGCCCGGCCCACAAGGCCGGGAACTGCCCAGGGCACGGCACAGCAACTCTGGGGGAAAAATACCCGAAAATGGGAAATTTATCCTGGGAAATTATCCCGGGAAAAACCGGGAAATTATCCAGGAATTTATCCAGGAAAAACTGGGAAATTATTTGGGAAAATATCCAGGAAATCCGGGGAAATTATCTGTGAGAAACCCCAGGGAAACGGCCCCGCAGCGCCAGGAACTGCCCAGGGCTCAGCACAGCAACTCTGAGGGAAAAACACCCAAAAATGGGAAATTTCTACTGGGAAAAACTGGGAAAATATCCAAGAAAATCCAGGGAAATTATCTGGAAAATCCAGGGAAATTATCTGGGAAAATTTGGGAAATTATCCAGGAAATCCAGGGAAAGCCCAAGGAAACGGCCCCAAAGCACCAGGAGCTGCCCAGGGCTCAG